AAAAAACTTTTGGAGAGCTTAAAATTCTTAATTTAATGAAAATTCATTTTATTAATTTAGCCAGCAAAGTTATTAAGATTGGTGATAATAAATACATCAGGATGCGGGAATGATTTATGCTCTGAAGGTTATATTGGAGTTCAGTGTTTATTAATGGTGAGTTTTGGAATTATTTGGATAATAAGACTATTTTTAATTCTTCAAATACAGCTCTCGCTAACATAACAATAAATACTTTTGCTTACTTCTACTTTTGTCTTTTTTATATTTTTCTTCAACATAATAAATAAATAGCATTATCGGAAATAAATTTATAAAGGATATCTTTCATTTTACACTAAAAGTATTTATTTACATTCCAGCTAGCTTAATAAGAAAACTAGGCTTCCATTTATAAAAATACCATTCAAAAATCTAGTTGTTTGGAAACGACTAGACAATTAAATGCCATTTTATTACAAATATTTGTTTTTAATTCATTTTTTAGCTTAGATAAGCTAAGTAGAAATAAGAAATTTCATAAATTAATTGAATTTAATACAATAAAAATGTATAAAAGAAAATAATATAACAGACCCATGCCACATAAATTAAATTTTTAGGGTTAGTTCTTGGGTATAACCACAAAAATTAACATTAAAAGTAAAATTTGATTTCTCCCTGAGGTTTTATTAAAATCATGGTATCTAATTAATTAATCATGATAAATAAAAAAAGGATAGAAATATTATTCATGGATAATATTTAAGATTAAAATATAACAAGCAAAAAAAAGCTTGGTATTTATATAATTTAATAAGATATAATATAAAACTAAAAATTTCAAATTATTTGATCGTTTATGGAGAATTCGGAGGGTTTGCTTAAGAGGATTTAATTTATTTAAGTAAATTTAATTTTTTAATTTTTTTATTTTTAATAAATAATTTATTTACTTACAAAAATATGAATGATATTTATAAATATAAAATCAATAATAACATCTATAAATCTATTTATATTTTAGGTTAAAAACACTTTTTCAAAATATTAAATAATAAAATATATTATATTATTCAAACATTTTATATTTATTCATCCTTTTTTCATCATTTGCTATTAAAATTAAAGACAACTAATCTTTATGATTTAAGACACTTGCGTATTACTTTGAATTATTATGATTTTAACATTGGGCTAAAAATTTAAAAATAAATTGAGTAAATTTTAAACAAATGTCAAAATAGAATAAACTTTTAAATTTAAAATTATTCTTTAAATTAATAAATAAAATAATATTAGTACAATAAAAAAGATAAAAAAATAAATCAAATAAAAATTATCAAATAAATTCAAAGAGCTGTTTTGTTTTATATTCATTTTTATAGTTTAAAATATCACAATCCAAAACAAATAAAC